TTTTTTTTTTGTTTGTAAATTTAAGAGGCTTTGCTTGTCAGTACAGGTATAGCTCATCTAGCTCGACCACCGGAAAGCATAAACCCTGCTCTAGGGTTTAAGACAGGAAAGGAGAAAAAAAGTACAGAACTTTGGGAGGAAAACTGCTTTCATCACCTGCAAATCCGCAATGGCCTCCTCAATTTCGCGGAAATTACGCCTCCACCATATTCATTTCTTCAATCGATTTGTTTCTTCAAAATTCCACAGCACTCCCATCAAATCCCTCCAGAGCCCAACCCTGATTCGGGCCCCTCCAGAAACCTTCGCCGATTACCAGCACAAATTGCTGCGCAATTTCCCGGTGAGTCATCGGAATCTGTGCACGGCGGCCTCGTCTGGTGCGAATAAACCAGCGAGCTCGAATGTAGGTTCAGCTCCGTCTAGTGGGTCTGCGGAGGGCAATTCTGGTAATAAGAATGAAGAAGGGCAGCGCTCAGGTGGGTCGCAGAATACTTCTCAGGAAGGAAAGCCTATCCGAGGAGGGGTAAAATGTCATTTATCTTTATAGAGATTGATTATCCAATGTTACCATTTTTTTGTGGGTTCTTAGAGAAAAGAATTTCCATTTCATATTTGAGTTTAAAGAGTAACAAACTTTATGGGATTGTGTGTTTTGATTTAAGGTTGTAATGTGTTATTGTGATAGCCCGTCTCATGGATGAGCTTCTTTTTGCTTCTTTGCACTGGAGCTGGATTGGTGTACTACTACGACAGAGAAAAGAAACGTCATATTGAAGGTTAGATATCTATGGTGAGTTGGGTGTTTATGTTTTTTCTTTGTTGCAAGCAAATGGCGCGGGTACATGGGTGATTTATTTCTGAATGCCGATGAGGACATTATATTTACATGTTTTTTACCGTTTTATGTTCCGTGCCCATCCTTTCGTAGATGAGACATCTAATGACAAATGGTTGGTTGTTTTTGGGTGGAAAGAATGAGTTATATCTGCTGTCTTTGTTTTTCAGTCTATGAAAATATATAGTTATATACTATTTCAGAAGATGCAACTAAATCATTAATTGTCTTTATTTGATGCAATACTGGGAAATAGAAGTTGGTGTGATTTTGATTAGTTCCATGATCCATCCTTATGTGACGAGGATTTTTGTTGCAGCATTGTTACCTTTTACTAGATTAAGTTTAGTGAGGGCTCTGGATGGATAATGATCTGTGAAATAGGTTTCTGCCAGCTTTTCATGTGGATTTTCCTCTTTTATTCTCTTCTTAAAAGAAAAAACAACTGCACCTCTCTCTCTCTGTCTCGCTCCCTCCCTCCCTCTCTCTCTCTCTCTCTCTCTCTCTCTCTCTCTCTCCATGTGAAGTTTAATAAACAAAATGGTTCCTTGTAGCCGCTCATGTTTATTTTTTCAGGATGTTGCTTCTTTCTTGTCTAAAAGCTCTCACTAACTTGAAGTAATTGCTTCATGGATTTGATTTTGATGACCAAAGGCATATATACGACATGGAAGATAAGCATTTAATAGAGTAGATGTAATTCTTTATTTATTATTTATTTTTCGGGACAAGCAAGCAAGATGTGGACTCTCAAATTGGTTGGCTGGTTTGGATATTTGATTATTGTTGTTATTTTCTTTGAATATGACTTCGTTTTTGGGCATTGCTAGTGATATTTATTGATGCTTATGTTTTCAGCTGCACTTTTGTGCAGAACTTGTTCTTTCTTTGACGTAGTTTCCTTCTTCTTCTTCAAACTTTATCTCTTATGCCTATTGTTAGCTTGTGTATTTTGTGATGTATAATGAACAATAATTTGCAGGGATAACTAATGCCTCGACTGCAGTAAAACAGGGACCATCTGTTGGGAAGGCGTCTATTGGTGGTCCGTTTAGCCTCATTGATCATAATGGGAAACCCGTTACTGATAAGGACTTTAAAGGAAAATGGAACTTGATATATTTTGGATTCACACACTGTCCTGATATATGCCCAGATGAGCTACAAAAGATGGCCGAAGCAATTGACAAAATCAGTCAGTCAAATTTAGCTCCCGCCTCTCTCCTGACTCCATCATCGACTTTTATCAATTAGTTTGTTTGTTATATTTTTATGTGTTTGCAGAAGAGAAGTCTAAATTGGAAGTTGTGCCAGTCTTCATATCTGTTGATCCGGAAAGAGATACTGTCGAACAAGTTCGAGAGTATGTCAAAGGTAAAATTTAGACTTTGACATGCAAGCAAAAAATATTCTTTGAAAAATATATTTGGATTAATAGTTGTCGTAGCGTTGTGCAGAATTTCACCCGAAATTAATTGGCCTCACTGGTTCGCCGGAGGATGTCAAGAAAGCCGCACGAGCTTATCGCGTGTACTATATGAAGACGGAAGAAGAAGGTTCAGACTATCTTGTGGATCATTCTATTGTCATGTATGTATTATTACCCTTCACCGCTTCAAAACTTGGCCATGATAGATATTTGAACTTCACTAGTGTCTGACATCTTCTTATATATGTTGTATGATTTTCTCATGTCCTTCATGCAATATATATAATAACATTTTATTAAGTGATTTACAATGTAGAATTTGGCAAGACAGTCAACAGTGATATTAATGTTTTCACTAACCGTTAATGGCATTTTGCAGGTACCTAATGGATCCAAATATGGAATTTGTGAAGTTCTTTGGAAAGAATTTTGATGCTACTTCGCTTGCAGATGGAGTAATTCAGGAGATAAAGCAGCACAAGATAGTGAGAGCATAGGATTATCGGGCGTTTTTCCAGTACGATGGACGAACTTAATTTTATGCTACATTTTTGTGACTTCTCTTAAAGATATATGCTCCCCAAGAGATTGTTTTAAAGCAGCCATATTTGCTCTATTCCGTACACATAATAAAGTTATAAGTTGTCAAATTGCAGTTTGTTTATTTTTTTTATTATTGTGACACTCGCACAGGGATGTGGCAATCAAATTCCTGTGCAAGACTACATTTTCAGTTTGAGCCGTGAGGTCACACAAAAGCGCATCTTTTATGTGATCATCTTTTACCTATTGTCCAAACATGCTAGATTGAGATGTTTCGCGTTAAAACTTGTGTAGCAGCCTACATGAAAGTCTGAAAACTGTGATTCGACAAATATACATGACAATCATATCGTTGGCTGCAGATTTCATCTTCTCAATCGCATAACATTACTTTGATTTTTTGACATACAAATATTATTTACCAAATATTATTAGTACAAAACAAACATGCTATTTGTTCCTTTCACCATTTCACCATGAGAAATCGTATCGTCTACTCTACTCCCATCATAACATTGGCATCATATTATTATTAAAACCACTCAAAAGTTCATATTTTCCAGACTGAGTGATGGACACAACAGCTTCAAAAAACAGAAAACAAGGGAAAAGAACATCAACCAAGTACCTCCTAATAAGATTCCTCTCGAAATCACACAAAATTGGCATTGGGAACATTTTATTTATTAGGCAGGCATTGGAGTATTATTACATTAGCCGATAATGCTTCAAAGTTCAGCTAGTTGTTAATACACTTTGCTCCGCACTGAACTATTTATATTACAGTCAACAAAAATATACCACAAGAAAACTATAGTTACGGCTGTGGTTTTTGCATTGAGATTCGCTCACTCACTTTTCCAGTAATAACCACATTGCAAAACGAACCTTAGTTTTATCGAACAACCTTCTTGCATCACCAATTGGCTCTAATAATGGCTCAAGCACAAAGCCTAAAGAGGCAAATAGGGTCCTCATTTTCCTCAAATAGCAGCTAATAACCTAGGCCACACTCGTTCCTGAAATCACCGGCATGGAGCAATTATCGTCAATTTGAGAATTATGGCATGGACAAAGTAACTGCTCGAAAATTTACAGAAAAAATAAAAAAATAAATAAAAAAATTATAAGTTACCACAAGCAGTGTCTGCAAACTCTTGTAAGAGTTATCTTGGCAGTCCAGCCTCCATATGTATAAATTGGGAATTACTCTGCTTTTAGTCTCTATAAATTTTATATATTTGAGTTTATTTTGTTCGTCAACAACACAAGCTACAGCGATGTGTACCAAATTGAAAATTGGGTGTCCGCATTTCTAAGCAAAGAAAATTTAACTTGAACGCAATTTCATAACTACCTCGGGTCAATTGACTAATCCATGTAGTGCAGATCAGGGAAGCACTTCACGGGTCAATAAACCTGGGGAAGTTTGTTTTTCCCAGATAAACCAGCTGCATTTCCTCTCTCCATATCTAAAAGCAATAAAGTTTCATAGTTTATGAGGTTATCAAGAACTGAGTTTTTCCCAGAAGGAAACTAAAGTAGTGGTCACTTGGTAAAGCAAGCGCATACCATGTCACGGAATTCAAGTCTAATATGAGGAACATTTGTCTTATGAATGTCATTTCCATCAGGACCATGCTTGAAGTACTCCTGACCAATCCAGTGTGACTGCAAAAAAGTAAATATAAAATGAACAGTCAAAAGTGACATAGCGAAAGCATAAACGAAAGGGATAAAACAAGAGAAAGACTCTCAAATATCTTTATTAATCAAATTCAATCCATTGAAACACAAGAGAATCGGAGTCTTTACATAGAACTCCTAAAAAGCGCTATTTTGTTTATCAAGTAAGGATCATCAAATATCTTTCCTACTAAAGCAGCCTTAGGTGTTGTCTTTTATTTTATTTTAATGCTTCTTTTTCCCCCAAAGCAGCAAGATTAAAAGCCAAAATAACTTTTAAAACCGTGAAAGATGGCAAAATGTGGAAACAGAAACCTTTAAAGCATGAGAGAATCCAGACTGATACACTGAGTTACGAGCAATCTCACATAAATCACATGAACTTAACTTCCACACCTGCAATAACAGAGTAAGCAATGCAAAACTTTTTCAGTAGTAAATGTAGTTGACAAGAAGATAAAACCAGATTGTGAGTAACTCACAGAGGCTGCAATACTGTATTCCTCTACCAAGGGCTCTTTTGTCAAGTGAATTTGTAGTGGGTCGTCAGTTGATAGAGATACATTGAGGCCCCGGAGGAAAAATGTGGGAAAAGGATTACGATGGTAGTCCAGGAATAAAGAGTTATTGCTCAAAGGAGACATAGCCAGACCAATCTGAATTTAGCGCCAGTTTAAGTATTAGTTAATACAAAATAGACCAAGCAAATAGTGTATTTGGTTATTTTGTTTTTTTTTTTTTTTTTTTTTTTTTTTTTTTTTTTTTTTCATGTTTGTTACTTTACCTGGGCTAGGTAGTATAAGTATTGTAGCACGGGAGATTTTCGAAGATTGATTCCATGTGCAATATTGTGAGCCGTGAGAAATGTTGCGGCAAGATGGTCAATATCACCAGCCTGATCATGTGATTATATATGTCAGAAATAAGTAAAATTGCTTGGGCAATGTGGCAAAGAAAATTAATTGCTCACCTCTCCAGAATGAGGTCGGAACTTAATAGTTGTCAAACCTTTGGACTCGCGAAGCTGAAAATGTATATAATTCAAAATTTTAGTTAGATTTTAAAAATGGAAGATAAATAACTACAGTTGCAAAAAACACAATCAAGTATTTTCCAAAACAAACTCCCTTTTTTTAGGGAAAGATTATGAAAACATTCATGGAAAAAGATGATCCTCTTCACGTAACAAACAGTAAAAAGAAGCTTCATTAACAAAAATCCTCATGGACCAACCTTATTCAGAGTATAAAGGTTAGCATAACAGTAGTATGCATAATACGAAAACGCAGGGTTAAATATATTTGTCCATTGAGCTGGCGTAGGCATGTGTTTTGTAGGCCTCCTCTCAGGCTTACTTTCATCATCCACAAGGTCCAATCCAACAACCTGTGCAAGACGAAACCTGGTACTTCAGAACAAGTCCAAGCCTCAACACAAAAACTGCACTTCTTCTCAGTCACAGTAATTTGCATTCACTAAAATATTGCTTGAGAACCTCGTATATATTTATACAATAAGATGGGAATCGACAAACCTGCTTCAGGAAAACATGCAACTGTGGATGTGAATCTGGATCGACAGTAACCTCAAATAAAGGCAGAAAAATATTATCGAGGATGCTCTGAAATGAGGTCACAATTCCCATTTCCTTGTACACGTTGTAGAGTCTTGGAAGCTGGATTTTTTAAATTTAAAAAATATAATAAGATCATTTATCTCTGGGACAAAAAGATATATATAATGGTGCTGAGAAATAAATGAAAGAGGGATTGTGACAAGTATGAGTTCTTCACAATTATGCATTAGAAACACTAAGCAAATCTAACACTTTTAGCATGATAGTATTATTATAACATCACAATATCACATTCAGCCTTAACCTGAGGTACACCGTTTTCCATTTTATGAAGTTACCTAGCCAAAGCTTATTAATATCTCAAGCGGAGGACACGACACCAACATCCACACATGCAATCGAAAGCTGATTCTAAATATTATTCATGAGAAAGATTTCTCAAATCATCAACAATAATTTGGACAACTGGAAGTGAACAGACAACTCTATACTTGGATTTTCTCATAAAAGTCCCCACAGCAAGAATTTAAGGTCTGATGCTTAAATAGACAGGGTCCATATAACACTACAGATGCATCAAAATAAATTCCATATCTATGGGGTCTCTTATAATCCAATATGATACCCTTCACACGTATATGATGATGCGTAACATTGATAGCGTTGATTTCAAAAGATGCATGTCACCAAGCAAATGTTGCTCTCCCGAGTTGATGCTCGGGATAAAACTGAAGTGCTAATTAATATACGGAAGGCATATAACACCCATTAGTCATATGGAAGATATGACCAGTCATCAATTTCAACATCAATGATCACTGCTATATTAAATATAAGCAAATACACTATTTTTTTTACCTGAATCAGCCATACAACATTCTCACTGTATAAGTCATTATTTACAATCCAACTGGCTAGTTGGTCCCACTCACTCATCTTCCTGCCATATATGGATATTCGATATTCGGCCATCTGCACAGGTGAAATACAACAACCTTAGAAAGTAAAATTAGAACACGAAACAAGAAAACCATAAGTTGTGATTTTATCATGTCCTCAGCAGGATATATTACACCATAGCCCATGCACTATGGATTAACAACAGCACGGAAATATTTAAAGGCAACATGTGAAGATATTTTAGATTCGTTTAAGCATATGTGGCTATCATACGCACCAAAAGGAAAAACAAAATATCAACTCAACGATACAAAAGAGAGAATTTGTTAGAATAATGAAGGTAGAAAATGAGTGCTTATGCTGCAAATAACTCAAATGAGACAGCTTCAACGTAACATGTGTGTAAAGTGAGTCAAGTAGTCAACCAAGATCTACACTCATCCCACCTATAATCCATTAAACAAATTACAAATAAAATGTGTTGCCCATTATAGATTAAGCACTAAAAAAAATGCTTCAACGGTTTATCATAGACCCACTTGATATTTGCTTGCTTCCATATCCGTAAACACTTGCTTAGTTAATTCGGCGAGAAAACGACCTGTTGGAAAAATTACAACTTAAACTCGGAGTCCATCAACAAAAACATGCCATCAGATTAAAGGTGCTGAAATGAATCAGAATAAAAACAGTGAAACTATGTCAGAACTTGCTATAATAGATAATAATGTCTATGTCTAAATCATTGGCGATGTTCAGTTTCACTATAGATTGACAACTACGCTTTTCCGAGTATTAACTTTAAAGTCCCATTAGGGTGATGAAAAGGAGAGAATGTACCTTGAATGAGATTATCCTGTTTTAAAAATATTTCTCTCAATCTGCTCTGACCACAAGGATTGTACTTCAAATTGAACTTGTCAAAGCGATGAAAGGTGCTTTTGTCCGCATGAACATCCAAAAGATCAACATTGAGGTCATATCTGCCATTTAATATTAATAAGACAATCAGCAACTTGTGTAGAAGCTATGGACAGAATGCGAGAAACCGGTTGAGGTAGTGGATAAAGGAATTAACTGGGAGTACAAACAGTATCTACAGAACATCTTTCATCTCCCATTAGTATTTTCTCTAAAACTTGATACTTACCCAGTTAAGTCCAAGCTCTCGAACACTTCTTTTAAAGTCAGATATGTCCCATCTCGGAATATAACAACCTGAAAATGGAAAAATAAACCTTTGTCACATAAAGCACCATAAAATCATAAACCTACAATTGCGTTGAGTAAAGCATACCAGTTACAAAAGAAAACAGAGTGAACATGCTACAAAATAAAGCAGTACCTCATCTGGTTCCTTCCTTAACTTCGACTTTATAAACCGTAGAAGATGCTTCTGATTCATGCAAGCGGAATGATGGACGTGTGTGTCAACTTTCCTAACATTATAAAAATCTCTATGCGGTGCACTTTTCTGAGCCAAAAACTCTCTGTCCGCATTAAGCATCAGATGAAGATTGAATTTCTGAGGCACATACACGTTGAGAGTATCAATAAATTATTAATTCAAAGAGAAATAACTAATGCATAAATCATAAATGGATGATACATCAACCTGCTCTAGAAGAACCAGCCTGTGGTGGCATAAAGTTCGGATATTACCAGCTGCTATGACTTTAAGGATATGATGCAGGTCTGTGAAAAATGTTGTGGCATCAGCTACAGGAAAAAGTTTCTCTTTTGCTGGAGAAAAGAAAGTAACTGCATCAGATAACGATGAAACAAATATCAGAAGAATAACATTAGTAAGGTTTTCTCGCATCTTACCATCTTTATTCGCGTAAACATGAACCACCCCATCTTCCATTTGGAAGTAGTGCTGCAGCAATTTTAACTCAATTTATCAAGACACTGATGGCTGAAATTACAGTTTAATGCTGTAAAGAAGTGTTCTGAAGTTTGAATAGATCAGATCAAGCACAGTGTTCATGTTATAATGTTGAGGAGATTTACATCTGACTTCCCCACTGGAGCATGATCAAATGGGTTCTCAATCGGCTTTGGAGTGGTGGGATCAGATATAACTTCCATCGCCCATGGAGCAACAGCTTCTTTAAAGACATAACTCCTCCGCAATTCAAGGCAATCTTGCAGTGTTCGGTAGACCTCCGCTTCATCCAGAGACGGTATCTCTAGCAGCAATAAATATGGAAAAAACAAAACAGTGAAAACCACAAATGCATGCAAATATTAGGCACAAGCAACAGGCATGAAGGGAGAAAAGGAATCTGCATATACAGAAGGGCAAATGAGAAAAGGCAGGGCAAGCTATCCTAGTACGCTTATACAAGCAATAAGAAAACCCCACGTCCACAAGAAACAGAAAAGGAGAAATAGTGTGACATAAGGATAATATAGGAAAAAGGTGAAATCAGCTATAGACAAGCTAAAATGTAACCTTCCCCTATAAGGGAACCATCATGGTCAAGTAGAAGAAACAACTTTCAGCTATGTTTAACTCAACAGCTGTCAAATGATTGTCCATCAAGCAATGTCTAAATCCACTCATGAACTGGTAATAATGTGATACGTCAAAACAACACAATGAGAGCAATACCCATGGGGGAAATTCTCAATCGTACAAAAGTCTCATGCTCTGGTTCTTTCCTCAGAATATCAGCTGCTACAGGATCAGGTTGAACACCATGCAGGTCACCAGATACACTATGCGAGCGAACCATGCTTGCAGAAATGGGCATTGCTTCACCATTAGCATTTATGGGCTCAGATACATTCTGGAAGAAGCATTCCCAGTCAGAGGTCATAAAAAGAGATGTTTGCAGGTGAGTGTGGAAAGAAAGGCACGACGCATGTAGCGAACAAAACAATAGAGCTTCAGTAAGCAATTTATAGCAACCAACTCACCGCATTTCCATTAACATGAAGATACGCAGTTTCTAGCTTAGCACTATCGGTCATAATATCTTCGTCGTCCGAACCTTCTACATTTTCAAATGCACTTGCACTTGCACTAGCAACAGGCGATTGAGGGGAAGTAGGCCGAACAAGATGTCCAACTCCGTTTGCTGAACTCGCATTACCAGAGTCACCTGAAATGGATTAAGTCACTGATGCTAAACCAAGATGAGAAATGGTAAATTAAGTAAGAAGCATGAAGATTTATCACGAAAAAATAGCTGGCAAGTCAGAAAAATGCTAGCTTTGAATGTTGCATAACCAATATACTAATACGAGAAAATGTAATATCGATCTGAAAATATTTCTCTAGGAAAACCAGTGAAGTAGAGAAGTGTATCCAATTGCTGGGCGTATCCACAGCCAAGACATCATATTATTTTTCCAATTCATTTTATTTACTGTTTGCTTGATAATAGGAAAAGGATGCAGCAAGTTCCGTAGTATGTAAGGCACAGAAACAAAATATTTGGAGCAACACAAAAGCAACACAAGAAATAAATACTAGCTACAACCAAAATATGAGCACACATAAAAAATATAGGTCGTGATAGCAGAGTAATAATCAATGTTGTGTATAGTGGCATAAAAGCATTACAGCCACAGTTTGTTGTTCTTTTTTCTGGCAGATCGTAGAAGAAGGGAGCAGCTTCCTTTACAAATATAACAATTTTCTTCAATAAACATAATGCTAGAATCCTTGCGGATAAAGTGTGTCACATGTAAAAAATGTGGTTTTGTACCTGCCACAATAGGTGAACGACATAAACAAATCTAACAGCAACAAGAATGACCGAGTAGAACTTAACAGCTAGTTAATAGCTTCCCTACTGGGATAACCAATTGTATCCTAAACACTGAACGGAAAATGAAATAAACATTATAATATAGTTCGTTAAGTATACTAGAGTAAGTATCCAACAAATGTATTCCAATTCACCAGACCAAACAGAATTCTCAATTAGTACAACTAACGAATGAGTAAAACTCTCGCACTAAATTAATTCACATCAAAACCATACGCTGTTTTCATTCCACCACATGAAAGATATTGGAGTACTTTCCAAAGGTATGGTAACAGGTCTCCATTTACACACAAAAATAAAGTTCACACATTATAACAGTTGAATAGATTTTGGTCCATCAATCAATCATCCAGGAGAAAATCGGCACAATCCCATACCTTCAGCCAGCGTGCGAAGCCTCGGCAGCCCCACCGGTACCCCATCCACATGCACCGAACCATTCCTTCTCTCGCCCACCTCACCCACCCCGCCGCCGGGAAACGTCGTCACGTCCGGCAATGACGCCGAACCACGGCGGTAGTGCCCGCCATACCCCTTCCTCCGCCTCCCGGAAGGATACTTCCTCACGAGCTCCGCCGCCGACGCGTCCTCTCTATCTCTCTCTATCGCCTTGGCAAAGTCGAGCAGCTGGTTCAGAGTTTTCCGGTGCATATAGTACGCAGAAACCGCCACAAACGACGCTCCAAAGAGGGCCGCCATTGCTAGATGAAGCGAATAAGCATCCATATTCGGCGGTGTATGCAGAGGGAAGCCCTGCAACTGTATTGATGTATACGAGATACAGATGCAATTGAAAACCCCTACGGGTGGGGTGAGGATAGTAGAGAGAAAGGGGCGAGCTGATGGTATTTATAGGCAGGCAGTGAGTGAACCAGAGAATGGGCATAACACATTGATATATTCGTTTATGCGTTTTCAGTATTTTTCAGGGGAAAGTATGGAATATAATTATTTATGTATGAGTTTTTGTTATTTTCCCGGGAAATAAAAAATAATAATATTTCTTAATTTCCATTAACAAAAGTTTTATTCTTTGGGGGAAGAATATGCAATTGGATATCCATTTCAATTTAATTTATTTTTATTATATATTTATCTGTTATACAAAAACAATGATTAATACGGATGTGATAAACAAAAATAATGAAATAATAATAATTTATGGTTTAACATATTTTGGCAAGACCATCATGCATGTAATGATGTAGAAACGGAGTTTTGGCACTTGAAAAAAAAAAATACTACAAATAATTTTTTACCAGAAAATTAAAAAAAAAAAATTAAGTTGTGGAAAAAAAAATACACAAACAAATAAGAGTGGACCAAAATAAAAACCCGTATTCAGTGAATACGTTTTACTATTTTTTTTAATTGTAAAACGTATTCAGTGAATACGTTTTCTTTTGTAAAAAAATATGAAAAAACGTACTTATGGAATACGTTTTATATATAAATTGTATAGAAAACGTATTCCTTAAATACGTGCTTTCTATTGCTTTCCACTCTCTTTTTTTCTTTTTTTTTTTTTGTCCACATGTTTTTTTATTTTTTTTAATATATAAACTCCTCACATAATTAAGGATCAAAATTTGCAGAATTTAATTAAGGTTGGAGATTATTGGGTTTAATGATCACCTATCTCTTATTAGTGCGTGTGTGTGGATATAATTTATGCTCCCTCATATTCTATTTAAATGTCGTTTTTGATATTTTGTACATTTTTTTCCATTATTATCCTCGTCTAGATAATAAATATACTATTCATCTTTTCTCATAACATTCATTTCTATCCTCATTAATGAGAGTTATTATTGGCAAAAAAAAAATCTTAATAACTGTACAACTTTTCAAAACGACACTTATTTTAAATATGAGGAGTATCTTACAACCATTATTGAAGCTATGAAGACAAATTTGAAAATTTTGATTGTATCCGTAATTTTTAGGGTTGAATAAATGTATGTGAGTGTGTAGATTGGTAATTAGGGTGGAATTTGAGTCATAATGTACGTATGTTATTTCCTTCAGGTAAACAGTAGTGAATAGCACTTAAACATTTACCAAACTATTGTTAGAAACAAAAGTGTGTTTAACTGTATAAAGAAAGGGTTTGAAAAAAAAAAAAAAAAATCGTTTTTACACTTAGCAAGAGTTGCTCGCGTAATTTGGCAGAGTTTAATTCCCACCATCAAGTTATACAAAAGAAAAATAAATCGTTTTTTGCATCAACCCAAAGCTACAAAAAGATTTATGAGATCCATAAGGTCCATTGGGCCTACCGACTATGTCATAATAAATCTAAACACGTGCCTTGAATCGACTTCCCATAATTACTCTAGTAAGTAACTAAAGAAAATTGATAAACGAGAGATAGAAAAACATAAGAGAACAAAACATTATCTATCTCGACACCCTCCTCAATTGCACGCTCGAGACCCAACTTGTATGTGGTGCTATGCCCGTTCTTATCCATCTCCTCGGCTCATGTCTGCAGTTTTGTAGAATTACTATCTATCTATATATATAATTGAACGTAGATACGAAGTGTATACCTTCAATTAAGTGCTCTGGGCTTCAAGGCTCTTATTTCTAATGCAACCTATGAGTTATCGTCTATATTTCCAAAATTATAAGCTATATTTTGAGTCTAAATCAAATTATACCCTGATTATTAAACTTACAATTTTATTTTCTAAATCATCAACGGGCCGACCTACATCTAGCGTGCCTAAAGAATCAAAGCCCAATATGGCCGTGTTTGAGCCTATTTTGACAATATTGTATTTGTAGACTGTAGGTAAATTTATCGAATTATGTAAGAGATCGTAACCAAAGTAGCTAGTTGAAAAATAAATAGGTTAAGAGATTACAGTTGGCACGGGGACATGGGGTATCGTCAGGTCGTTGCCGAAGTGGATAGTCAATGCGTGACAAGAATGATACTTAGTTCAGACGGTTCTTTTGGAACCCACGACGCGTTGGTACAGGCCATCCGAAGTATGATCCAACGACAGTGGAATGTTAGGATCTAGCATGTGCATAGAGAAGTGAATTTTACAGCCTACCACTTAGCGAGTTTGGCGGCGTCTTGCCCGATCGGTCTACAAATAATACACTCATCACCTCCTTTGGGTATGAGACATTGGCTCGAACACGATATTATTGGGGTGTCGTATTCCCGACGAGTGCTAGACATGCGACTCTCTTAAGCTTTCAGCCTCTTTCTTTGTATCGAAAAAAAAAATATGATTATTGTAGAAATTGTTCAAGTAATTTTAAAGATTTGCTTTGCCAATCTAGTCAGTTATTAAAAAAATTTAAAATATAAAAATAAAATAATAATATTGTATTACCTCCTATTTTTAATATATGTCGTTTTGAGAAATTGCACATTAATTAAGAATATATTTTATGTCAATAATAACCTTATTTAATGAAAATCCTCCCTATATATAATTTCCGAATGCGCTGAGCCTACGTGGCTGATTCTGGTGTTTCGGAATCTTACTTGGCGAAGAATCATGCTTCGTTATTATGTTTGAACAAATAATATTAATATATTAATAATTAATAATTTAGGTTCGGACATTCCATAAATATTATTTATCTAACTTAGGTATTTTAATATCACTTGTACTAATATAACCCTTTAATTATTTGTAATTTTATATAGTGAGACACTAAGTGACAAATATATCCCTGACTTTGATTTGTTTCCTTCAATTAGCTATTGAATTGTAAATGTATTTTAAAAGTTGATAACTTTTGTATCTCTTATCAGTTTTACATATATTATATATCAAATTAATCATATTTGACAATCTTCGATTTGACATCCATATTGTATATATGAAATAAATAAATTATATTTATCTTTATAATAATAAAAAATAATAATATTTTCTAAAATTCATTAGAAAAATAAAATTATTTATCAATTGATATATTTTTCTTAATGTAGTTATATGTTGTAAGTTAAAAATTATTATAATATAACACAAGTAAGTCGCAAAAATAAAAAGTGTTATACTAAATATATAATAATATATATATTTTTGTAAAAGATATTTAAATTTTCAACTAATTTTTTCATTAATTTTAGACTTTAAGAAAAAGATTAGCAAGCACCCGTGTAATACACGGGTGTTATACTAGAAGAGATGAATGTTTTGAGAAAAAGTGAAGAGTGAATATGAAAAGATGTAATGTATTTATTAGCTAAATGGGGGTAATAATGAAAAAACATGTACAAAAGATACAAAATGATATTTATTTAGCAAATAATTGATAAAGCTAGAATGACATTTAAAAAAAAAAAGGAAATATTAATTGTAAAATAAATAACTTGAAACTTGAAAGTACAACTTGAGATGGTTGGGTTGCCAAAAACCCTAAAAATCCCGATGAAAATGGCATTATATAACGCACACCACTCATCTTTATGACGCCGACCTCAAACCCTAATTCATTTCTGTATCCTCATCTCCATATCAAATACAAATCCGGCGCAGCGATTGTCAGCAGTGAGCCTTTTATTTTACTTCTGAATAACTTCTGCTGATTCTTATGTGTATATACTCTCAAAGCTTTGAATTTGTCCCGTGTTTTGAGATAATTTAGTGACATTCATGAGAAAGCATTTTTGAAATTATGCACAGGCACTTAAACCAGAGCTGGAGATAGTAAGAAAATGCGAGCTTTTGTGCTCACAAATGCTAGTGAGAATGCTTTATGATGCTAGTGCCTGAGTCCAAGTCTTCTATGTGATGAACATGTTTATGAGCTATGGTTGATATCCATTATGATGCTAGAGGGTAGGGATGAAAATTAATGCTGTTAATCTTTACAAAATTACAATAACTAGATTTTTTTTTAATGTTTTTAATACTGTTTTGGGGAAAAGACTACAATTCCGTCACGGAATGGTTCCGCGAGGGATTTTAGCCTTTAGATATGTATGCAAGTTAGTTATTATAGATAATCTATGGCTAAAATCCTTCACGTAACCATTCCTTGACGAGACTGCAGTCTTTTCCCTGTTTTGGTCTCCTCACTTAAAACTGCAGCTACTTTAGAATGGGTCATGGCTGAATACATTTTTTTTTCCTCTATTTTTTTGATGGCCCTTGGCAGGCAACTTTGCCGAGGTGATCAAATTCTTGTTGATTTCCTCTTTTTCCCTGTTGCCTATAATACATTTGACCGATGCTGGAAATTTTGGGTGGTGAATTTCTGATTGTGCCACTCTCTATGGCGGCCGACATTTTATCTTGTTCCTTAAAAGTTATCGATTTCCAACGTCTTGTTAATTGCTGGGTATTGCGTATATTGACTTAATAACTTTAGATTCCTATTTTGTTCTGCCTTCTTGAATCTCAAAGCTATTAGTATGAACTAAGAATGCATTTTTTTTTTTTGAGGAAAAGCATGATGATGATTCTCTAAATGATGAGCACATTGATGAGCGATGGTTATATCCAATGAAGTTCTATATAGTCATAGTTACACTGATAGAGATTCATGTTTTCTTGCCTCGAACATTTTGGGTTTTGAGTTTTCTTTCTTCTGACAACTTTGTTGGAATCAAGAGGCAACTTTGCCGAGGTGATCGATGGTGCTATTGATTTCCTCCTTTCCCTGTTGCCAATATTTCTATAGGCTGCATATTTGTTACATGGGATTGATCATATGCTCTGTCATTCTCATAATCTTGTGAAGCCAAAATA